AACTGGTCAGTTTTGAAAAGGAAGTGTGTGTAGAGAGAGGAAGCCTGGCTATCTGCCCTTAGCAAGGCAGCCCCACTTCTCATGCCTCGCAGCCTTCCTGTCGGCACCCAGGGTTGATTTACAGAGCCAGGGGAGGAAGATGATTGTCCTCCAATGCTTTGCATGCTTCTGAGTTCCTAATTTTACTGACTGGAAAAACACCAGATATAGCTTCAGATTCTTCTGCAGGAAAAAATCCTCACTTGGATACTCAAAGCGAGAGCTTTTTGAACCATCTGTGCAAGTATGCAAAGGGCTCCTTGGTGCAGTGCAGGCTGAGGGAGATAAGCCCTCTTCTCGTCCTGCCAGGAGGTACCTCCCACCAGCCTGGTGAAAGTAGGGGAAAGGATGAAAGCAGCAATGCCCCTCTTGGCTTTCTCTGCACAGCAGAAGCTGGTCCACTGCCCTTGGCTTTGTCACAAGCAGACTTTCCTCCTCCACTGAACAAACAGGATGCAGCCAGTCCCAGGCAAACACAAAGGCATCAGAGCAAACAGCTCCCAACTGAGAGCCCCAGCAGCAGCTCCTGTTGCACATTCACTGCCTGTGAACTCCAGAAATGCTACAAAACTGAGGAGCAGACTGAGAAAGCAGAGGCTAAGGCAGTGTTTTCCTGCTGTGCCAATTCTTGTCTTTCATAACACTGATGAGCTGATAGGTTTAACACTGATGAACTAATAGGCTGAGTGTGATGTAAGCTATCTTACCATGGAAGCTGTAGAACACAGCCTACTAGATCAATGCTGATTCACCTCCAGCTCCGTTCCACAGTAGCTGCACTCAGTGGGGCAGAAAAAAGCCCTGTGAAGCTGCCATCAACCATCACTGCCAGACATCCAGGGCTAGTTAGGAGATCTGGCAAGCACCATCAACATCCAATGGCCCTTCTGCCACCCACTTGGTGCTGGTGGCAGGGAAGTCCTGACTGGAGGCATAGCATTACCGGGAGGTTTCTCCCATTGCAGGGGGCTGGTGCAGCCCTCTGGGCACCCTGAACCCTGCTCTCCCCTGCTTATGTGCCTTGTTCACAAGCCAGCCATCTGCTTGGAAGTGTGGAACATGCTTTGGTTACCAAACCTTGGTGAGAGGAAGTGTCTGCCAACACTAAAAAGGATGATTGCATCCAACTCCAGGGCATCTGAGACAGATCTCTTTCTGATTTTTCAATAACCTTGAGAATTTTTGAAAGCCACAAGAAAGTGAGTTCCCTTTCTTGGTCATATTTGTCTAGCCATGCCAGCTGTACTTGCATGCAGTATCTACTTCCAGGTCCAGATAAAGCTTCTGCATTAACAAATGATTTCTGAATAGGTTCTCGTTAGCTCCTCTGTCCCACCAGCAACAGTAGCAGGAAATATTACAGTGCAAAATGTTCTAATGGCATGGTGTAATCCATCCTTTATGTCTTTCATGGAAGTGTTATCACTGCATAAACAGTTTGCGTTGTTGCTATTAAGCAGTGTTTCAGCCCACTGTGCTTCCTGTTGAAGCCTCCTACTTCCTCAAATGTCAGTGTTACACTTAAGACTTCTCAGTCACTGGGAGTCTCTTCCTCTGAGCTGATATTACACAACAAGCTTTGCCTCCAAGAAATAAAAATACTTAATCTATGCATCTTTATTAATATTTATTATACTCTTAGTGAACAAAACTCTGGGAAATTTACCTGCTATTTCCCCTTTTTTTTTTTTTTTAAATCCATCTATTTATTATTTAACTCCCTATATGTATAACATTTCTTTATTTAATTCTAGGTATATCTCTTCTCTCTTAGAGGTTCAAACTCTTTTGATGTAGGAGTGTTTAAGACTGTCTGGATTCTCAGAAGAAATTGCTTCTCTTGACAACTTGATCAAAGAATTAATAAAATAATGCCTCCAATTGTACATGATTTCCACAAATACAAGTTTAATGTTGATTATTAATTTTTTAATCTCACATTCACATTTGTATAAATCCTTTGGGCTATATAGATGCCATAATACTATGCTACTGAATCAAGAAAATAAATCAAATTACAAATTGCAGACCAAGAAATGTTTTATTTGGTTTAATTTTGCTGCTTCCTACCCATTTAAGTTTTAGTTGCTGTATTCAGCAGATATTTTACCTTTTACATCACTGATTAAATTAAGAGGCAAATTAATTTAAAGGCTCTGACTGCTCTTGATTGTCAGCAATTTGGATGCTTATTAAGTGGTTTAAAGAGCATTTAATTAAAGATGTATTGCTTCATATCCAGTGAAGTAGTCAGTGAAACATTTAGTGTTTATGTCTTCTTATAAAGTATTACCACTTCTGTAGTTCAAGAATGCTTTCAAAGGATGTATGCATAATTTCCTCACTGTAAAAGAATGACTAACCAGTAATTGCACTGAATTGAGTCTTCCTCTTACCTACCGTTTATAATTATAAAAATTAAGTGGCCCATACCAATGTTATGTCTTTGCTTGCTCTTACGTCCCCCCTCACTACCTATTCCAGAAGTTAAGAAGGACTGCTGAATCAAAGGAGTCAATGCTAGAAATGGATCTGGAGTTTAGGCATTAAGATAGATCATACACTTCTCTGAATGCTTTTCTTTCCTGCTTTTTTTCCCCTGGTTTAAAAACCTATTCCAGAACAACAGGAGTCACCCTCTTTCATGTCTTCCAAAATAGTTCAGAAGGTGAAGCCAAATAAACAAAAGCAGCCATAATACAGAACGCCACATAATCGGGTGTTTCTTGATTAAACACTTGAGTTTGTTGTACTTTTTCCATCTCAAACACTGTTAGAAAAGTCAAACTGTCTTCACCTTCCCCGCAGATCCTTTGGTTAGAACAACCAGGGAGGGGGAGGAGGTGTAAGCCCTGACAACAAACCCCATGACATTTCTTCAAAGGCTCTTGGTAAGGAACAAGATCATCACGGAGCAAGTCATAATGTGTGATCTGTGCCAGCCCCATTTTAAGCTCAGAAGGAAAAGCCTGGCAGTTGGAAAATCCTGGCAGTTGTACCTATTTTTCACTTTCCTGTAGAACTATCATTTGGGAATAAAAAGAAGAGATTATGGGCTCAACATGAGTTTAAAAAGGTATCAGTGATTTCTCCCTCCTTGTTTTTGCAGCTGAGTCATTATAAAATAATGGGATAGGGTGAAAGCAATCAAGGATTGGACATCCTTCCCAGAACAGGCTGCTCTTTTTCACCTTTATAAAAGGAATTTGCTGTTTAAAGAAGTGAAAGCAGGACAGGACACTTCTGCAGCTGATTTCCGTGGAGAAGAATTAACATCCTGAGGTTTATTTGCTTGTTTAGTAAGGTCACCTGGGCGGCCTGCTGAATGAAAGGAAAACCACACCTACCTCAGGCCTCCCTGCTCCTGCGAAAAGAGGAAGAGCTCGTTAACTTGCTCAGGAGAGGTTTAGACTGGACATCAGGATGGATATCTTTACTGGGAGAGTGGTCAAACACTTTGGCTGTAAATTACTGCCTCAGAATGTGATAAAGGTAAGGCTGGAACTGAACAGCAGCAGCAGCCATTTAGCCCAACCTCTTAGCTCAAGCACAGTCAGTCCACTAGAGCACATTAGTAAAGAGAGTGTCCAGAAGGCTTTTGAATATGCCCAGGGAGGGGAAACTCCACTCCCCTCTGCATGTTGATCCAGTGCTCGACCACCTGCACAGTAAAGAAGTTCTTGTTCATGTTCCAGTTGAACTTCCTGGAACTTCATTCCTTGCACGTGTTTCCAAAACAAATTAAGTTCCCCAAACCAAGTATATTTTGCACGTGAGAGTAATTGGGAAGTGTCTTTATCTCAACCCATGAGATCTGTTTCTTTTTTTCTCTGATTTCCTCCTCCCACCTCACTGGGGAAGGGGACTGAGATAGTGGCTGGCTGGCAGCCTGGCTAGGAGGCGGAACCAACCACCACAGTAGTGCAGCAAAGTACAAGCTCTTTGTAACCTTTGAGCTCAAGACCAAAGACAAACGACAACAACAAAAAGAAGGAAAACAATTTAGGATGTCATACTCTGTTCACTTCACATCACTGACAGGTTATCTGCCCTTCTTCTCCATGCCTGTGCACTGAACTTCACATCAGAAAGTTAGGAGGCTTCCCCTTATAAATCAGCATTGCACATCTACAAATCAACAGCTTCTACGAGATAGATTACACAGTTCTTAGAGTAGGAAGGTGTGGTTGATGTTCTGTGAAGTCAGCAAGGCCTTGATCTGCTCAGACTTTGCCCAGCAGCTTATAAGAGCTTCTAGGAGCTCAATGAAACACAACACATCTTAATCTGCACCTCATATCCAGGCTAATAAACACAAAGTAAGGGAATAACTTCCATGCATCTCCTACATACTTTTCTTGCCAAATAGAAGGCATATTGTTCCTAAATCTGTTCAATAGTAGTTTAGTTTCTACTTAAGAAATCCTTATTTTGTGACAATCTAGTCATTCTTTCCTCAGCTCCTTTATTGTCTTGCCTGAAGGGGCGTGTACATTCAATACAAACTTCAGAACCTAATAGAAAACACCCTACAAAACACAAGGTTGTAAAGGATGATGGGAATGGTTATAAAATAAACAATGAAGGCACAATAAAAGTAGTCTTTTAAAAAAAGCAGCCTTTATTATGAGATCATAGTACATGCCAAAATCAAAGTGTTTTTTAAGTCACTGAGTATGTTTATGAATTGTATTTACAGGTTTTTCCTGCCTTTTAAAACTAGAATTTGTTTGATTTTGTGGATATTTTTAAAAATAAAGACTATAAAACGTGATTCAAGAAAAGATGCATACAAAAGGAAAAGGGAAACCTGGCTTGAAATTAAGTCATTCCTGCAAAAGCCAAGAACAAAGAATATATTAGGGTTTAAAATTTAACTAGGCCCGATCTTAAACTGAAAGAGTAAAATTTTGAAAAAACAAGAATTACCAAAAAACTAATGATGAAAGTCTTTTCTTTGCTTTTTTATAATATAACATCAAAATTACACAGAATGCCCCAGTGATCGCTAGGAAATCTGCCACATTCTAGTTTTTCCAAACCAATTAAGTCCATGCTTCGTGGAATGAAATGTCCCTCTTCCAATGCAGGCCGAAAGTAAACACGGTCAAACCTCATCTTGCACTTGTAGGCTGCATTCAGGTTGTCGTTGGACTGCGTGTCCCAAGTGTAGCGGCAGTGCTGAGGTTTACCCAAAAACTCCCAGACATCCTTAATGTTGTCAGGTAGATTACCAAGTTTAGTAACCTGAAGGTAGAAGGAGGAAAAAAATTCCACAAGATAGTGAATTCAGAAATTCTACCTTCAAAAAATAGAACTGAGTTGTCACAGCATTGGATTTTTTTCTGCAAAACGTAAGTTGTTAAAAATCAAAGATCGTGGAGATGTTTCTAAACTATGGTATTTCTCCATATACTCTAAAGCATGACCATTTCCTGTAGCACTTTGTAAATCCAAAACATGTTCCAAAATAAATGTTCAGTTCTGAAATGCTGATGCGTAGGGGCCAACACCATGTTTCCTAAACCAATGGCATTCTAGTTCACTGCAGTGGAATTACAAGATAGGGAGAGGTGAAACTCAGACCTTCTAGTAATAATGCACAAATTTCTCTTTTCGTACCAGAAGCCAAAAACTACTTCTAATTTTGAGCGTCTTGATTACCAGGGATTGATATCTATTTCTCCAGAGCACCCTCTTCCCTCATTGATTCTACAAGCTCTGAGAATTGGAGAGTTGAACAAGTAAAGACCAGGTTCTCAAAATGAGAAGATGTTTTTGAAGTTACACCTTCCATCAAATCTGCCTGCATCTGCTTAGATACAAATATTGTTATTAAAGCATTTAGTTATTGGGAAGGGGACTCTATATAAATCAACTCGGCCATAACAATGCTTACTTCTACTTAGTCACAGTCCCACATTTTAGGAATAAGTGTTGAATATCTCTGTTCTGCCTAAGCAGGTTATTTCTCATAAAGACAACTGAAAAGCATGAGAAGGTTTTGTCAAAATACCTTCTCTAAATAACAAAGTTGCTTATTTCTATTTACCTCGCTGTCTCTGAGGTTTGTATCCCCTCCAAATATAACCGTGGTTGTCTCAGACACCTTCTGCATTTCATTTAGCACTATCTGCAGCTGCTTTATACGTTCCTTGGAGTGATTTTTAGTGCTCTCCAGATGAGAGGTCATAAGGCAAAGTTCAATACCAGATATGCTCACCTATGTGTGAAACAAAGAGGCAGTGTTACTATCCACATCATGATGATAAGCTCAAAGACATTTCATCACAAAGCAAATGACTGAACGACAGAGCTCTGGTTAATATTAGTTTTACATTGAAGAAAAGGGGCTTACAGAAGGATAATAGACTTTTAGTTTTGTTTTCAGAGGTTATGAGGCCTGAAAACAAAGGATAGTAGGTAACACACATAAAAGATTTGCCAGTTTCGAGTGCAATTGGGAGTTTCCCTTTGAGACTATCATAGAGAAAAAGCCAGTTCAGCCTTTCCCGGGATTTTTTGTCTGGACGGCAGAAGCTGCTTAGCACATCCTGACTCACTCACATGCACAACCAAAAGGTTCCTCTTCATGGTAGTTGTTGGAAAAGGTATTATCTCATGTTTCAGTAGCTTCACTCTCGATTTCTTTAACATTATGGCAGTGAAATACCCGTCTATGTTACCTAGAGAAGACCAAGCAAAGAAATGTTTGAGGACATCCTCTGCTGTGCCACAGCAGAACTGCCATAAAGCAGTTAAGGTTCTGAAAGAGACCTTTTTACCACAACCTGTGAGAATATGTTGATTTTTAAGTCATTAGTGAAAAGTCGCATAATAATGGTCTGGATTTTTCAACTTTTAAAATGCAAATACTTAAAAAATTACTTATCTATGGTACTTTCTGACTACCCTTGCTACCAATCTTTCAAAACGCAGAAAAAAAAATACGTAGGAAAACGCCAGAAAAGCAAGCTTTTCACATGCCTAATTTGCATTAAGATATATGCTGATACCAAAACACAGAAACATCGAGTGCTTCCTTCCTTACTTTACTCTTTAAAATGGTTGGAGGTCTTGGCAAGAGAGACAGAATAAACCCAAACTTTATTTTCTGGTTTTTGTCTTCAGCACCTGAGGGCTTTTTCTTACCTGGAATAATAGTGTAATTGCCTGCTTTCATCTGGAGGAGAGGGAGATGTGGTGGGATGACCTCCTGTAAAAACACGACATCCGGACTGTATCTGAAATCACCAAGGCAAGAAAAGTTTCAATTAATTACTGAGAAGCAGTACTGCAACTCTGAGGCCAAATGGAACAAAGTCAGGGACTTCAGGTGCACCTTGCCCTCATTTTCCTAGGTTTTTTAAGAATCTGTTCTTTACAAAAGAAAAAGCTATCTGCATTGTATTTAGCAGCACATAGATACCACGATTATTAAAAAGGAGGAAACAACTGTTATTATGAACATGCAGTAATAAAATGTATGACTTCCTTGTACCATGACCTTGCAGGTTTCACAAACATGAGGAATTCAACTCAAGCAGCTGCAAAGTAGATTTGGGACATGTTCTCCAAAAGATTCTCATGTACAGGATGCAATTATGAACTATGTTCGTGATGCACGATTGCAACTTGAACAATATTGCTCATTATTAAACTTTTAAAGTAGCCATCTCAAAATATTTAACCTCTGGGATGCAGCACATGCTCACACCTCTTACAGTCAGTGTAACAACTCTCAGCTCTTTAGGATTTATACGGTGATTGATCTAACATTGAAATAATTGGGACATGAAGATTTGTATAAATCAAATTTGTATAAAATAAATTTGTATAAAATCAAGCTTTTTTTTTTCTGTTGAATCCAGGTACAAGATAATACAAAGAAAAGGCTGTACTTACAATGCCAGATATGTACAGACTCCTCTAGCTCGATCTTTCAGATTTCCTAGATCCAGCCCATCAATATTCCAGGTGATCAGCGAGAAGTTGCTGTCATCTTTTTGGAGCGAGTTTTCACTATTGACACTGGCATGACTTGTAGTTTCATCTGCAGTGAGATCAATGCTAAAGAGAGAGCGTATTTGTTTGTTAACATGCATAATACTAATCTATCTGTGATTACCTTACTTCTCTTTTAAAGCATGTATTGATCTCAACATCACTTAGAAGCACAGTAACTAAAACATACAGATCCCAGTCATACACAGCTGTGGTGCACAGGTGAAGTAAGTCATTTTTACTCCTCCTTATAGAGGCAAGATAACATTTACCATTCTGATGTAAGTTAATCAGATGGCAACCAACGTAATCCAAAGCACTTGAGTAGTCCAACTGTTCCCCCACAATCCCACTCTTTCCGTGTACTTCAGGAACAGGCTGCTTCGGAGTGGATACCCCATGGGGTCACAAGTCCTGCCAGCAAACTTTCTGCAACATGGGCTCCTCTGTCCATGTGCCCACAGGTCCTACCAGGAGCCTGCTCCAGAGTGGGCTTCCCATTGGATCAGCCTTCTTCAGGCACCCACCTGCAGCAGTTTAGAGTCCTCTCTGGGCTGCAAGGGAATCTCTGCTCCTGCATCTGGACCACCTCCTGCCCCTCCTTCTTCACTGATCCCTGGTGTCTGCAGAGCTGTTTTCAGTTCTCTCTTCTGCTGCAGATGCTGTTGTGCAGCAACTTTTTAACCTTAACTACATTATCCCAGAGGTGCCACCACCATCGCTGATGGGCACAGCATTGTTCCACAGTGGGTCTGCCTTGAGCCGGCTGACCTTGGCTCTGTCAGACACAGAGGAAGCTTCTGGCAGCTTCTCATAGGAGCCACCCCTGTAGCCCCTCACTACCAAAACCTTGCCAAACAAACCTGGTCAGAACAATGTTGATAACACATTGATGTTTTTGTGTAAGACACAGATCTTACATCTTAACTTTCACAGGTACATTTAATAGGATTTGTGTGTGTGTACATGCCAATTTTATCTATAGAAATAAAAATATGCATACATCCGGTATAATACAAATATGCATAATTTATACACACATAAATGTGTGTAAAATCTGCATACGCATTGCTGCACAACACAAGGCAATGAGAAGAAAATGTGCCTGTGCCTTCTCCAAATGGCTCACAATCCACCAGTCCAGAGGATCCACAGCGGGAAAATGCAGCCCAAAAGCCCGACAGCCTCTCCAAGGCATAGAAACGTCGGGAAAGGGTGCAGAAAAGGAACGGGAACCACCTGCCTCGCTACACGTAAGCCGAGGTGCGATGCTCCCCGAGTCACACCTCGGCCCAGCGATGGCTCTCCCCGGCTGTGGGAGCCCCAGCGCCTTCCCGCCGAGGGGAACCTGTCCCCGTCCCCCTCCTCCTGCCACAACCCCCCGGCCCTGTCACCTACCAGCTGCCGCTGTCCGCGCAGGCCGGGGCCGCCCCGCCCGCCGCCGCCTCCGTGTCCCGCGGCGGGTCGAAATAGGCGTTCAGCGCTCTCTGAAACACAGGGCCGGCTGGCAGGGAGGGGCCGCCGCCGGGCAGCCCCGCGGCCCCGGCGGCCCCGGCCGTACCTCCATGTGCCAGTCGCTGCTGGCCAAGAAGCGGCGCGCCACGGCCGGGTCGCTACTGGTGATGGCGGCGAACTCGGAGCACAGCACCTTCCCCCGCTTGGCGACCTGTAGTGCCTCCTCATCATCATCCCCATCCCCCTGCTCCCGCTTGAGCTCCGCGGGCGGCGGGCTCGGCACCGGCTCGGCCGCCTCCTCCATGGCTGCGGCGGAAGGCGATGGGAGGCACCGCCCGCCGGGGTTGCCGTTCCGGGGCGCGGCGGGCGCGGCGGGCGCGGCGGGCGCGGCGGGCGGGCAGCGGTCAACGCGGCGGCAGCATGGGGCTCACCATGGAGAGCCTGAAGGAGGCCGTGAAGTACATGCTGGAGTCGCAGGGCTTCGACCGGGTGCTCCGCAAGGTACGGGCACTTGGAGGGCAGGGCTCCGGGAGCGCGGCCCCGCCGGGACAGCGGGTTTATACGGCATTCTGTGCCCTCCCGGAATGAGGGGCTGAACCGGGAGCAGGGGGCAGTCCGCGGGGCTGCAGAGCGCGGCCCGAGCCCGGCGGTGCAGGTGTCTCCCCGCATTCCAGGCCTCGGCACCGTGGCGTGTGGCCGTGCTGCTAACACGGAGTAGAAAACACAATTGTTATAATAACAATAATAACTCAACTGTTATTCGGTAACTCTCGTTAAACACTCCAGCAGCTCTCTGAAGGTGCCTGTACTGTGTAACCTTCAGGGGTCATTCAGCAGGTCACATTCTTTCCTTCGCAGTACGTGCGAAGCCACTAACTTCCAGGACCGTGAAATTGTGAAATATACTCGTCCCTGTTTACAATTAGGAAGATACCTCGCTATGGCAACTCGGACCTGAGCCTGAAGTCAGACTGAAAGCACAGCACACACCCCAGTGCTCTCTGAATTTCTACTCAAGGCCTTACGCTGCACCTTCTGGTGTAAAGAAATTTAATTGACTGGTACTGCTGCACTGTCGTGCTACATTATGCTCCAAAAAGAAACTGAAGCTACTGTTCATTTACTTTAAATTGTGTAGTATGCAGTAGCATAGCTGCTGTGTAGGAAAGCTCTTATGAAGTAGTTTCAGTGTTCTCATTAAATTTTCCCTTTAATTTTTGTTTGGTTGTGTAACTGTGACCTGGATTGATGGAATAAATATATCTAAGAAAATTAGTCATGTAAAAATTCATATGCTTTGCATTGTGGAGGAGCAGTGTTATAATGGAAGCAGTGCTTAGGTTGACAGCTCCATGATCTGATACATTCAATAGAAATCAACTGTTTGCAAAGTAATTTTTACAGTCATGTTTTTCCAAGACATGTTGGCAAGTATAAAAATTTTAAAAAATGTATAAAGCTTTAAGAAGATAGTTTATATATTTATAGGGTCCATTTAGTTGTTAGTCACCACTTCACGGTGATAACTGTACGCTCCTTTTAAATCCTGATAAGTGGTGAGCAAATATTAGCATTTCAGCTTGTAAAGGTAGCTGGCTGGAAGTGAGCCTTGGGAGACAGGCTTCCAGTCTTGCTCTGGAATACTTTCCGATTTTTCCTGCAACCTTCTAGAATAAGGATGCTAGGAATCTAATGATAATAACAATAAAAGTACAGTTGTGTTTGAATGAAAAGTAACTGCTGCTCTTCTGGGACATACCTGAAATCTCTCTTACCATAACTAGATGACTCAAGGTTTTTCTTATTCCGGAGAAGACACATTTTAGTCTGGAGCCTTTCACCTCCAGCGTCAGACATAGTTTCTGGTTTAACTCCAGCGTGGTATCTACGCAGGGTTTAATGACTGCGTGTTTGAGGCCTGGAAGCTGAAGCAGTGTGCTGTTCCCCGAGGCAGACGCGTGGGAGGACAAGCACAGCGGGGCTGGGAGAAGCACAGACCAGCAGCTCTAGCTGAGTACGTCCTGCAAGTGTTCAAGTACTGAACTATTTTTGTCAAGGAGAGCAGGCATGTAGTGCCAGATCAGAGCAATGACAAATGGGACCAGATGCTTTCCTCACCGTGCTGGTGGGTTGCAGCACCAGTCCCTGACAGGAGTGGAAGCCATCTGCTCCCAGTGTTGAGCATCAGTAAAGTTCTCCTTAGAAATTCTGCCAGAAACTTAGGCCTCCAGTGCAGTGCAGCATGCATGATTTAGGACTTGGGGTTTTCATTGATATAGGTGCTATTTATATATTAGGACATTGCCTCAGTAATTTCTTCTCTGTTTAATACCAGGTTTTTTCCATTAGAAGACTGTACTGCATTATCATTGATCTTAGTATCATTTGTCTGCAAAATGTGGATAAACTTTGGTTTATCAGAAAGGGTGAAACTCAGCTCTTACATTGCATTATAAACAAGGAACAATGAAACTTTAAATATTTCAACCTTAATACCTTTTAAGATCAAAAAAAGTTTTAAATCAACTCAGCTAGTAACAGAATGGAAAGATTCAAGTTTAAAAAAGCCTTTGTAAAAAACCTGAAATTTGGTAGGAATAAATTAAATAAGTATGTCCACATTTCACTTTTAATAGTCTAAAGGCAGTTCAAAGTCCTGGTTATACATGTAAATATATGTGGAACTTATCCCAGTTTTGCATCTGCTTTCAGATTTTGAATATAGTGCTACTAACTGAAGAAATTTAAATAGAGATTTTAAAATACTGAATTGCAGTAACTTCTTGGTCTCAAAATTCTAGCTTCTTGTGTTGGTTATAGGGGGAAACATGGTATCATAGGTGAGCTGTAATTCTGGATTTACCGCCTGTGGGCTGGAATAAAACTGTATATGCAAATAGTGATGCTGTAACAGTGTGATACAGCTTTGGGTACTTCTACGGGTGAATATGAATTTACAATCACGGAGGCCAATCTGATTAGTATTTCCAGTGCTCATTTCAAAATACTGATTTTTTAATTGAGGTTGCTCTAATATAATGATTAATGAATTACTGGTGGTCTCATTTCCATTTTGTGAGCTAACAAATACGCCTTCACAACTGTGGTACACACAGAAACTTGGAGCAGTTTTGTGCTCCCTCTAATCTGGTCTTTCACTCACAGATTAAAGTAAATGGAAAACTGAAGACAGTTTCCTCCAAAGGAGTTCCTGACAGCATAGCACATATTGAAGTTCTGTTAAGCTGTCAGTTTAAATATCTGTCTGCATTAGAAGTACAGATTTTTCTAAGGCAACAGTCTTTCTGCTCAAAATTTATGGAAATACCTAATGGGACAGTTGAATTACTGTATTTTCCATCTTTTAATTCGTCTCATGACTCCAGAGTCAGAAAAAATTTACTTTCCGTTTGATTGAGGACAATATTAGGTGTTGGTACTACTGTGACTAAACTTTTTATTCCTTTTTTGGTTATACAGATGAAACTTCAATCTGCAGCTCCTGGAAAAGTTGTTTGTGAAATGAAAGTAGAGGAGGAGCATACAAACAGAGGTGGCACATTACACGGAGGTTTGACAGCCACCCTTGTGGATGTGGTGTCAACAGCAGCATTGCTGTACACAGAAAGAGCACAGCCTGGGGTCAGTGTGGACATGAACATCACGTAGGTATCATCCACTGTAGACACCAAAACGTAGTAACTTTTCTTCCCCTATTGACTCCATTGTACATCTTCTCTGTGCTGTGGCACTCACTAAAAGTGGGTGTTTTCTTTGGTTTCAGAAGTCTTGTTTTGATAAATTAAAGGGGTCACATCTATGTTTTTGGAGACAGCCATTTAGTTTCAAATTTTGAGTTGGACCTTCTTAGGATTTCTTTACATGTGTTTACAAGACAGTGCCCATTCCTTCATAGAATATAAAGGGATGTTGATACGTGGTTAATTTTACTCTTAAGAAATTGGTTTCAGTTTTTGCTTGTGCAGGTATGTTAATATCTCCTCAAAACCAAAGCTCTAGGGTAAGCAGCTTTCTATACATTCTTTTTTAGTAGCATTCTATAAACCAGAGTGTCTTAAAAAAACAGTTGTTCTGAAACTTTCTTTGATCATGCTATTGTAGCTTGTCAGCTTTGCTTCATTACTTTTAATGAAGAGATTATGACCAATTGCAACTAAAGTAATCCTACTTGGAATAACTAACACAGAGCATTAAAAATCTTAGAAAAGTAACCCTGCATCAAAACTGCCTTTAAAAAAAAAAACCAAACAAAAAACAAAAGCTTTTAAAAGTGTGTGGGGAGTGGCCTGTATCATTACCAGGTTCCCTCCTTTCTCTCCCAGCACCTTCTGAGTTCTCTCCTGGGCAGATGGCACTAAGGATCTATTTAAACTTCATACTACCACTGTGATGACTAGGATCTTACTGGAAATTAAAACCTAAAATTCTCCTGTCATTATGCGTTTTTTCCTGAAGTAGTATAACAAGAGGCCAACATCTGAATTATTGACACTACCAGTTATGTCCACCCAATTACATAAGGGCTGAAATCTGAAGAAAGTGATGTCTCTGGAGGTGATCCAGAATTACCTTCAGGCACTGTTACATGAAGCAATATTAATAGCTTTTTTAACTTGGACTACTGCATTCATTGAACAAGTGAGATTGGATATCAAATATTGTTACAAGAACTTTTTTCCTTTTTGGGAAGGAGCTTTTTAAAAAGTTGTCATGAGGAAGCTATTTCAGTAATGGAAAGAACAGAGAGAAACAGAAATTTTTTTTGGTAACCACAAGAGGATCAGCAGCAGCTTCTGGAAATGAGACAAGGCTGAAATCCTGCCCTTGTCAAGCAATGGAGCTGGTGCTACATCAGCGTTAGGCATGACTGACATTCTTGTGACATGGCGTCATGTATAAAAATGGACTGATTTATAAAATCTATCTCAACAAGATTAACATCCAGCAATTCTTCATTTTCCTCTGCAGCTCTAACATTTGAATAGTGTTCCCTTACCTCAGATCATTGTTGGATCATGTTCCTCCTAACTCTTTCCAGGGGAATTCTTTGTGCAGAAATTTCTCCCTGTTCCCTAAAGAGCATGTCTTAAAAGCACACCCTCCTGCCCGCGTAAATAAAAACAAAGAGCTGTCTAGTGAATGGAAGCAACATTTGAGGGCTGTCCAGATTTCCATGAATTTCCTCTAACCAGGGTATGGGAACAGTTAACCTATGCTTACAGTTCCATACAGAAATGACCTTCTGGAGCCTTTGTAACAGTGATATTTTGCAGCTGAAGCAGCCAGACTAGTTTAGTAAGGCTGTAGGAAGCCAGCAGTGGTTGGAATAGGACTTGGAGCTGAACTTTTAACTGAAGTCTTGGATACCTCATTGTTTCTGGTTCCAAAACTGACTTTTCCTCAGAACCAAGCCAATGAGTTTCTTTCTAGCCTCCATTTTCTCAAAGAACTCTTACACTTACTTACCACTGCCAGTAGTTAGAGGAGCTCGAATCCATTAAGTGGGGTTTGCAAGTAGGCAGGCAGGCAGAGATGTGTCTTTATTACCCTCTTCTGCTAATTCCTTCATGATAATATAAAATGCAGGAATATTTTTGGATTTATCCTCTGTACAGTCTCTTACCTGTTCCTTTTTTCCTTCCTTGAAGATACACTTCCGCTGCTAAGATTGGAGAAGAGATACTGATTACAGCTCAGATTTTGAAGCAAGGAAAAAATCTCGCATTTGCCACCGTGGATTTAACAAATAAGGCTACAGGAAAGTTAATTGCACAAGGTAGACATACAAAGTTCATAGGCAATTAATATGAAAATGTACTTTAAATATTAATGTTGGACTTCAGAATCCCGTATAGAATTATTTTCTCACTTATGCAGTATTATCTGCACAAAGTTGTGATAGTCTCTATCAAGTGAATCTGTCTCACTTCTATAATAAACAGATTTCTTAATTACCACCAGAATTGCTACAAGCCTGGGTGTGGGATGAGCAAGAGTATGACAACAAAGGGAGGCATCTGTCTTTTTTTGGTCAATGTAGCAGAAGGGAAGAGCCTTTGGACCAGCCATATGGTTAACCAACATGACAGCATTTTAAGAGATTTGTTTTCTTTACCTGTGGTGTCATGTGACAAAGCAACCATGTCTTCAGGCCTGTCACAGTCACACTCCAACACCACTAGAAGTGCTTACAAACTGTACTTGTTCTCTGAGGTGGCAGTACAGAGTTCCTGTAACATCAGCCAGAACTGATTTGAAAGTGTAAAGCGGGCTAACACAAAATGTAATTTACTGATGCTGAAACAAATCAATAAGTATTCAATAAAGCTTTCTGAAACTACCTTTTTAAAGATTGTTTCATAGTTTTGTAGCCTCTTTGCACTAAGTAAAAGCTTGCCAGCATGGAATGGTTGAGAGAGGGTGGTGGAACCCTTGTACACAAATTCACCTGAGATGTCATAATCTCCCTCTGATCCCCAAATGTGAAAATATAGTTATATCATGTGGGCTTTTCATCTCTCCCTACCTGAGGCTGCGGTTATATTTGTTTAAAATCCATCACATGCATGTTACAGATGTTAAAAAGTAGTTTTGATGAGCTTTCATTCATGCTAAGACTGTAGACCATCTGACCTGGGCTGAACGTGGTAGAGTTAAGGTGCTGTTCATCAGCTGAAGGCTGGTCTCCTGTTGCACTGTTGTGGACAGGCTTAACTGCTGTCTTCAAACTGTTGACAAACGATCCATGGCAAGGCTGTCAAGCTGTAATAAGAACAGCAATGCTACATATACAGTGCATGTTTTTCTCCTCTAGCAAAAAACTAATCTGTGCTAGTAAAAGGGCATGTGTACGTCCTTTTTGTTGAAGAAGTTGAGTCATTGTCTTCAGTCATTTGACTTTTGTGATGAGCAGTGATGATGCAGTCTATGCATTCCTAAACCTAAAGAAGTAATTTTCAAGGAATTAGGTGACCTGTTCATGCAGACTGATTTTCAATACAAAGTTGTACAAGTTTACTAATGTGTCATTAATCTTTCCAAAATTACCTTTAAACAACTAATACCAGTGGGTAACTAACCCTTCAGTGGAAGTTCTCTAAAAAATATCTACAGTGGGCTCAGACTACCAACCTGTATTTTTGCAGCAAGTTTAGAACAGTTTTTCATGGTGTATACATTCTCAGAAAAGCTTTTTCCCAGGGGCTGCCTCAGAAGCATACACGGTTTACATGCCTGTGGCTAGCTGAACTATTAATAGTAGCATCCTCTCTTGAGCAGTACACTCGTGATTGGTTTTCCTCCAGTACTTGGACTTGCTCACACTCAGAAATCATCCCTGAATCCCATTTAAAGAAACATAATGCTTTGCTGAAACAGTTCTGCAAAGGTGCTTACTACAGCAGTAACCTTTTTTGTTTTCAGTCTTTGCTCATCAGAGCTAAGATGCTGCACTGTACGAAATGCTCATGTTACAGCTCTCTCAATGAGCAATGTTAGGAGTCTAAAGCATCTCCAGTTCCTCTGCAATTACTTGGATGAGCAGAGAGGATCCATCAAAGCAACTGGAGGCACTTACTGACTTTGGCAATTACTGCTCTGGTTATCTTCCTATTAACATATTCTGGCATCTCCAATTATCTTTTTTCTCATTCTTAAGTTTACCAGTTTTCTTACATGGTTACTCATATAGTAAAGTGCAAGAAAATAGTTAAAATTGCTCCCCTCCAATTGCTATAAACCCACTCCCCTCACTGGAACACAAGAGTGATTTTGACTATTACCTGAAATAAAAGGCAGAGGGTTAGAATGAAGGAGGTGCTAAATTCAGTATATGCCAAAATATTGAGAACACTCTCAGCTCTGTGTGCTGGGGCCACTCTGTCCTTGTGTAACTGTCCCACTGCAACTTAACATGACTTCCCTCAATCAGCGCTGGCTGCCTCAGGAACCTATCAGAGTTAAGTGGTCCCATTCTATCACTCAGCATTCATCATATCTACATAATTACAACTGAAAAGCGTCCAGGCCAATTGAGAGTGGCAAACCTCAACACAGAAACAACAGTAGCCTCCTGCTCCCATTCAAGCCTGGCAAGGACTGTGAAGGAAACAGAAATAAACCTTCCTGAAATAACAAGTGAATTCTCTTCTCCCTTACAACAGCCTATTCAAAACAGTATTTTAGTACTGCCTAATTAATAAGAGGGACATCATTAATATGCAGGCCAGTTATTTCAGAAGCAGTTAATTAAATGGATTATTTTAATACAACCTTGTCTGTTATCCTTCACCAGCAGCAGTATGTTGACCTCGTAATTTATTTCACAACTGAACCCAGGTGCAGAGATGATCTTAGAAGGAACTGACAACATTGAGCTTGCCTAGCTTTGATAGTAAATGGTCAAGAATCAGACTTAATACTTGGAAGTGTTTTTCACTAATTTCACTCTAACCTACATGTTGAAAAATCTGTATCCTACCTTAACTGAATCTCGAAGTAATGGAAACAAAATACCATAATAAGGACAAGTGGTACATGGCTCCACCTGGCATCAGAACAAAAAGATCTCCTGTGGGGTTGGCCTGGTTCCATCACTGCAGATTTAGGCATAATTCCCTTACAAGCAAGCAAGTAAAGTGATTTCATGAGCTCATCTTGTGAGTCTTGGTAGTATACCAGATTAAATATCCAGTACCTGACAGATGACTGCAAGTTCCATATCTTAACAGCTAAAAATGACACCAGCCCTCCCATATTGCAGTTAGTTGTGTTTTAGGGTTTTTCTTTTAAATATACTGAACACCCAAATTATATTTGTGTCTAGATGTCTGTTCTTATGGAAGCCATGTAGTGGTATGAAATGTTGAACAGTTTCTCTCTCGCAGTGAAAGTAACTTCAGCTGCCCACTTCATGCAGTACCCTGTCCAGCCAAGTGTTTCACGCTGGTTTCACATCACTGATATTGCACAAATGCATTCAGACTGACATCCACGGGCTTGCACCATGTACAGCTGTGCTTTACAGAGGCCTTGAGAAAATAAGGAATCAGAACAGACTTGTTCACTGGCATTTGAAAACAGGGGTCCAGATGCTAATCAGGGCAGATACAGATCACAGATTAAGATGCAGTGAGAAGGCGTTTAGTCATTAAGGATTCCAGTTCTTGGGAAGATGTCAGTGATAAACTAGGGTGTCACTGCTGAAAGAAGTGTTGAACTACCATAACTCCTTTTAAGTCTTTTAGGTTGAGCCACCCATCACAGGGGTCTCATAGCTGAGCTGCTGGTTTGCAGTTCTCATATTCACAAACCACAGACCTAACAGGGATGATGGGGCAGGGAGGGGAGGAATGTCGGGTGAATTAGGCTGTTAAGTAACTGTTCTGAACAGCAGTTCAAATCTCTTCAGCTTCAGTGACTGGCTCTGAGCCACTGCCAGGGCATACGGAAAAATTTCCAACTGCATTATATCATTCACAAATTTAGAATTTCCATCTGCAAAAAGAAACATTTAGCCAGAACCCCCCAAGCCTCTCCCTTACCTCATAGTCCATGGTAAGGAAAAAAAGAACCACTTAGATTCCTATTTTGCTACTTGAGTTCAGGGCCAACATGAAGACAGTTACCACCTTCGTGATTCTGCAATGCATTCACTGAACCACTGCTACCACTAGACCAGGATCCCAAGCTGCCATGGTTGTGAGACACAGATCTTTGATTTCTTTTGCTTAAAAGCAGTAGCTGCTTGAATAGATTTCAGGAGTTCAGAAGAGCAGTTTGTTTAGTGGGTGCTCTGGCATACAGTAATTGTGCTTAAATTAAGGGACCTTTCCACATGTAAATCCTTTCCAAGCAGAAGTAGGCCACAGATCTCTTCAGCCCTAAAAAGCATTTGTCACCCAAGCAGAAGAGAAATTACACTTAGCTTCAGTTAACCTGTAGAGCTGATACAGCCCTCTCTCCATAGCATATGCACTACCCAGCGAGGCTGGTGAGCTCCCTCCCAGCTGCAGTGCACAAAGCAGAATGCAACACCTACTGCTGCAGACCTAAAGGATTTTAGTAATGTTTTGTCTCATTACTGCACTCTAGAAAGCTGTTTCAGAATCTGTAGGCTTGTACAGCTTGTGAATTTAATGCTGCAATAAATGCAAAATGAAAAATCTGAGATGATCTTCCAGGCTAATAAAAGTAAATAGCAATTAAGTAAATTCACATGACATGTCTATCTGTTTAGTGAATGTAAATGTACTCTACTCATTCTGGTCTTCAATATCGCACTCAATGGCAGTAATGTTAATGCAATATTAAATGAAACCTCTAACAGTCCATTAGACTACTCTCACTTTTAAGAGGCAAAAAACTCTTGTGATTCTTCTCACTGTTCAACCCTCCAGATCTTGATTCAACATAAGCTGGTGTTCAGTAACTGCAAGTAGCCTAAATGACTCAGCACACAATAAAAAGCAGTGTTCTCCTGGCAGTAGAACAGGGGTGGGAAGGATGCCTGCAGAGCTCACAACCTGCAAGTATGTGCAAAGCTCAAGTGTTTATGGCATTTGTATGATGTTTTAAAGTAATTTCAAAACTAATACATTGCACCTCATGTGTCAAGGAAAAGATGCAGTCATTCCTAAGGACCATAGCCACTTACTGTAGTGCAGGCTGAAACTCGGGTTTGTATTTTCAAAGTACAATCAAGTAGGTCTTTCAGAAATATCAGCTTTTTAGAAGTCTAGGTCATTTGACAAGTTCCAATTTTCATCTTTCCACCTGCTATTTTTCTAACAGAATTAACATTTTGCAATGAAAAAAATTAACGTGCAGTGAGAGATCAGTACCTTTGATGTAAAACTTTCAGTGCTCAAGAGATGAGTAATTTTTTCCCTTTAAGAGAAGCACTGACTTAAACCTAGTATGTTTCTACTACCTGATATAACACAACATAAATTTTCATGTTTATAAAATAACTAAACTAACTAAACTAACATAACTAATAACTAAAGCTACAAATAGCTTTTCAGAGGAAACTTATACTTTGAGACAGACATGACAAAGGGCATCAACTCCCAACTAAGTACAGGCCTGTTGCATTTTGGCAGTACTTGTACAGCAGTTCTGTCCATCTTACCATATTTTGGTAAGCTCCTGCACAGCTGAAGAACTTTGAGAAGTGATGAAAAACTTCACAGTTACATACAGACTGTAACATTTAGAGAAGCTGATCATCCAGGAAGCCCCTGACACAAGCTTCCCTTCACCAGACAATTCACTGGGATGCATTTAATATTCAATGGCCTTTGTCTACTTAATTTATCCCTGCCCCCTTGCCACTTACCAAGGTCTGATG